TCCTATCTTCTAGATGGCGCCTTGCCCGTTTTGCATTTTTGTATTCCCCTACGATTTTCTTTGAGGGGAATCCGTTAAACCCGCCCATCGTTCAAAAATGGAAGGGCGCGAGGTCACATCTATTGGGCTACTTATTAAAATAAATTTGCGATTAGATTTTTTTTAGTTTATACAGTTTTTTTACAATATTTTTGAAGTAATCACTTGTCACTCAAATTTTTAAATATATTAATTTTCTGCTATGCGCATAGATAAAAAGAAAATAATCTTCTATTCAAGATAGATATGAAACTGTGACGAAAAAAGGAAAAAAACTCGCATATTCGTTTCTAAATTCAGCAGTTTTGTTTATCTTTCTCGACTACAGTTTCGTTTCGTTTTAGGTTATGTCTTAAAATAATTATTTATAAGCTTTTGAGTTAAATATACCTTAATGCATATCTGAGTAATTAAAAAATTCAGTTTTTTCGTCCCTCGCGAAGAAACATAAACAGTATTTGTGAAATTTGGATTAGAAACTATTATTTTATTAGTTTATTTTGTTGTGTTTAAGTGTTGTGTATTTGTACCTACTGGATAATATTTTCCAACATATTTAATTAAGCAAAAAGCATCTGTTTTACAGGTAAGTAAATACTGTTCATATTTATTTCTAAATTCATATAAATTTGTTTTAAATCACTCTTGGGAAAAATGTTATAGAGTCTGAGATAAGTTTAATAATAAACATTTGATAGATTGATAGATAGATTAAACGATAATGCCCAGTTTGCTTAAAAGTTTAAAAAAATACTGATTTTATGCTATAAATTGTTTCATTTCTCACTTTGCTTTTTTGGAATTGTCAGATATATTGTGTATTTTATAATTTTTCCGAGAATTTTTCTTAATAACTTGATAACGTAAAATATTTTTTATCTACAGTCAACCCTGTGTTTAGATAAAGCTTCATATCAGATTTCCTATTTTATATTTTCACTCAAATCATATTTTTTGTAAAATATGCTTGCAAAAGTAGCGTAAATTTGACAGGGAGGTATTTTTATAGATATACAGGATGATTCAAATATATATTTACTTTTAAAGTTATTAGTTATGAGCAAAGGTTATGAGTTTGTGAAAAGAAAGGCTATATTTTGTATTTTTGCTTGGTGGATTTGTTATTAAATTGTCATTCCAAAAAATACCATAATGTCGTAGTCGTATAGAGTTCATTTTGACCAAAGAATATATTTTGACCCTTTTTGGATTGAATTTTATTGTTTATATAATAAAATATATATTTAAAGCCCTTTCTAAGTTAAAAATAAGTAATATGGAAGTTTTTTACTGGAACTAATTTAAGGTAATGTTCTCTTCATATAATTATATAAAAATATGCTAAATTCCTAAATTATTTATATGATTAAATTTTCTTTATATTATTTTTTTTGTATTATATACAGGATGAGTCAAAACTATATATTATATTTTTCTTTGCTATTTCAAATGGAACACTGTATTTTATATCATAAATCAACAAATCTTTTATCCAACTTTTGTTTTGTTAAGATCTATATCCCAGATTAATAGTTATTGGATTGTTCTCAATAATTGTCTCTTTGAGAATAAACATGATTTGTTTTTCGCAATTTTTATTAGTGGTTTGTCGTTAAAAGTGATGTATCTACATATTTATCAGCGACAAAAATTAAGAATTAGATGTCTAAAATAATTTCCTAATTATTTTTTTACTTAGCGTATCAGTAAATATTATTTATTTTATCGCTGCAGCTGAAAATAATTATGTATTCCAAAAGAGGACATTACTGTATAAATATCGATTATTTGGATTTAAAAATTATTTTTCAAAACAAAGTTGGAAAAAACTACGTTTATGTCATAAAATGTGGAGTTCTCTTTGAAATAATCGAGAAAAACCCAACATCTAGTTTTGACGCCACCAGTATATATCATGCATTATAGTTCATTATACTGCAATTTATTATACATACGTAGTTTTGTTTGGTGAAAATGAAACTTCTAAAAGTATTCCCAATTAAAACATATTAAGAATTTCCTACATTATAATTTTGAAAGACGTTTGAGTGGGCAGACAATTTGGTCTAAAATAATCATATGTCTAAAAAAATTAGTCTAAAATAATCAAAAACTACTTAACACATATAACTCGCTTTTAAAAAATCTAAAAGAAATAAGTTTGTTTATTATATTCATATTTTATTAAATTATTATAGGTGTGACTGCTAAGTGGTCGTACTCGCCACTTTAACCAACCATTGGTGGGACCATGGTAGGACCTTCAGAGATTATAATGCGAATTTGTCATACCATGTAAATCTATATACATATATTAATAAATGCGTTTGTTTTATTAAATTTGTTTTCTTATACGGTATGAGCGAAAAAAAACGGCGTCTATTTGTTTACGTACAAATATATGACATCGATATTCATTTCCAAGCCACCTCTGATGCCGTTTTTTTTATCGTATGGTATACACTTACATATATCCCTTATCCTTTAAATCCAATTTATTTCTAATAATTTAAAAATAAGATACCTGATTGATTCTTTCGAAATATTATAAAATGAGATATCAGGAAATAAATAAAGTTAATTATCTCGTTTGTTTTGGGAATTCACAAAAAAGGGTATAGAGAATCTTAAGAGACACAGTTCAAATATTATTTTTGAGTATAATGGGTGCTTTCAAAAAATGTGGCGGATATAATGTAACATGTTTTTTAATGCAAAACTCTTATTTATAACCTTTATTTTATTTTCGATTCTGCCTAAAATTCTATAACTTTTTTTTATAAATAACGTTAGTATTTGCAAAAAAAATTATTCCTATGTTACATAATTGTCAGTTGTTTCCGAAGTTGGGCTACACAAATTTGGTAGGAGTGTTTTACAGAGGTGAAGAAAAAGATATATGTAAAAATACTTGGAGTTAGATGCTACACTGTGTTCAAACAGTTTTTTTTGGCTGATCCTATATATTATTATTTTTTCTAGTGATTTTACAAAACCTTTCAACATTTGTTAAGAAAGTATATTAAGTACATCTATACTCTATACAGCTTGCAATCTGTTCTGAATTTTTCAATTTTTATCCTTCTTTTACTTCATTTACACTAGGTATAACAAGTTTTGCCATGACAAAACAAAAATTATTTATTATTAAGCATTAAAGTAATTTATATAGTTATATGACATTATTAATAGAAATTGAAGAATTATGTAAAATCTATCAGAAAAAATTATAATATACCGGGTGTTTTTCAAAAGTGGCTTGATTGACGTATTCAATTAGTTTCGGTTATTTCTTGTTTCACCGGAAATGACTACAACTTGGTTTTTAAATGGTACCGTCGGTATTTTTTTACTTTATTTGACAGAATATGGCATTGTGAATAGAATAATTTAATGTCAACTTTTGACATATTTACTTAAAAAATTGTATTTTAAATTACAATCTAGAGTGCCATGATAAAAAACAACATGTAACCGGTCGTAAAGGTAACGACAGTTTGACTCGATATACGAAGTGTGTGGTACCAAATTACCTATTTACCAGGTACCAAAAAGGAAAAGACACAAAAAATATTAGACGATCAAATCAATTTTTCCGAAGCTCCTTGATTAAAAATTAATGGTTTTAACACAGCCATGACACTAGATTGAATTTTAAAATGCTATTTTTTTTAATTGAAAATGTCAAAAGTTGACATATGATATATGTCATTCTATTCAGAATGTCATTTTCTATCAAATAAAGTATAAAAAATACCGAGGGTACCATTTAAAAATCAAATGTTGTACTCGTATACATTTCCGGTGAAACAGGAAGTGACCGAAACTAACGGAATACGAATCAATCTCGATTTATGTCATATACCTACTAACATTCCGAGTTTGGTAAACCCCGAATTTAATTTTATCTGAAAAAATAAAAAAGTTATAGGAGGTGAACCGCTTTTGAAAAAACACTCAGTATAGGCTGCGTCATTGAAAGAATCTGCAGATATTTTTCTATTTTAAATACGTAGTCGAATTTCAAAAATATATATTGAACACCCTGTAGCTCTACCTTAAATATCTACATATAAATATCTAATATTTTTTCTTCATCAACAAATTGAAATATTATAAAACTAGTTTTAGGTTACACCATTATACAAGAAATATACGTAAAAAAAGTAATAGAATTTTACGCAGAATCTAAAATAAAATAGGATGTTACATTTAAAAAAAACATTATGTTAAATCCGCCACACTTTTTACAAAGTTACAGACGTAGGTAGGTATAGTTTCATATTATATTCTTTAATTATCCATCTAAAAATAAAATATTTATATACCTAATATAATACTTTAGTATCCAACAAGTGGCTATGAAAATCAAAATAAATATAAATCCATGTCCAAAAATAAAAAATGTAAATAACGCTTTGAGGTATAAATTCGGTTGGAATCAGATAAGATATTTTATTCTTTACCGAGAATTAAATTCGAGGAATTCCTAGTCCCTACTTCTTTGCCAAATTCAATAGTCTCCGCCCCTTTTTACGTTTTAATTTCTGCCACCAGTTGGCAGCATCGACTTATACAGGCACATTGACTAACTATTAATATATAAACAAGGGTTATATTGATAAATGTAAGAATAAAGGCAGGAAGTTTTTTGAGCTTGAGACACGGCTTGAAAGTAGGAAATCTTTTTTATATCTTTTTTTGGTATGTGGTGTTGTTTTTGTTTAAAATACACCCTTGCTTGTTTTGTATTAACACATACCGTAATTGTTTTTTAATAAAATAACTGGATTAGATTTTTTTTTAGTTTATACAGTTTTTTACAATATTTTGAAGTAATCACTTGGCACTCAAATTTTAAATATATTAATTTTCTGCTATGCGTTCCAATTGTACCAACTTACTTCTTTGTTAAATAAAATAAATTACTTTGATATTAAAATGACAAATTTATCACTTACCTCAATAATTTTAGAATATTCTACATTGTTCAACATATCATTCAGTTCCAGTTTGTCATAAAAATCCACATCAAACACTTTTACTGGCTCTGAAAGGTACTCAAAATCTTTAACAGACAAATCTTCAGCTTCGTACGGTTCCGCATCGATCTGTCTTATACACATATCTTTTAAATTGAGTTCCTGTATCTGACTGACCACTCGAAAAGCTTGAGGACTTTTGTAATTTATAGCTAAAATAATGTTTTAGTAAGTTTAAATCGTATTCTTTCTTAGGAAAAAAATAGATTTTTACCTGAAGCGTATAATCTGGCACCACAAGGTACAATTTTAAAATTATTTGTTTCTGTTATTAGTACTTGGTGAGCGTGTACAAGACTTTCAAGCATTCTTTCACCAAATATGGCCACATCGAAAATTTCAGTAACCTGTAACAATTTTTAAATTGCTTATATGAGTGTTAAAAGTGTTTTACTGGTATGGTTGGGTCTGCAAACGATTTTCAAATGATTGATAAACGTAACAAGGTTTCTATAAATTTTCTGATTTCTTCCAAAAAATGTTAGTTTGGACTACAGCCTCTATGTAGCAGTTAAATGGCAAACAATAAGAAATGCTAGCATAGAAAAATTTCTGGGTCTTAAGGTTTAGAACAAAATCTTACATGGTCTAGCCACATATATTTTGTGTCAATAATTTATTAGATAGATAGTTAGATAAAAAGATTATCAGTCAACTGGAAGTAATGAGACTCTTAAGACCTTTATCCAGCAGACGCCGACAAAGACAGTGCCAAAATTAAGAGTCCCTATCTATATCAACTGACTTCAGAAAAACTATACTTTTTATTTTTCTTTTCTATTTTCTATATTTTGTTCTTTCCTGACTAGTCTCAATTAAGAGTTGCAGAAGTGTATATTTATATCTGTTTCTATAGTCCAAGGATAAGATATTATATTATTATAAAGTTTAATATAAGACATTCTACCAAAAAATTGCAGGTTACTGGAGGTTCATTCAATTTTGTCGAATTGTAATTCAGTATCTTCACGTTATTCCTGTCATTTTCCTTCATAATGCTTTCACACATCTTGGCAAGCAATTTATTTTCCTCAATAGCTGTGACATTAACCTCAGAATTTTGCGATGCAATTAATGATAATAATCCACAACCAGCGCCAATATCAACAACATTAGTATATCCTAAAACAAAACAATAATACCTTATCATACAAATATCCTGGTTTAAGTATGATGGCTATTACCTTGATTGATAATATTATTTATAGCTTTATAATAAGCGAGATTGCGGGATTTATCGTTCAACATTTTGAAATGCCACCTGGGAATTTGATGCCATTTGCAATGCATGAGATTCTTTTCTGCCGGTAAATAATTGTTACTGCAACTCACTGCTAAGTCCAGATATCGCCTTGCAATGTCAATTTCACCCATCCTATTTAAAACAACATAAAAGTAGTTTGGAAATAGAACTTAGTAAATAATCTTACTTAAATAAATATCCACCCAAATTGTTTAAAATTATATAATTATTTGGAAAGAAGTTCAGTGCCTGCAAATAAACTTTAAGCAGTTCTTCGGTGTCATTGGCTTCTTCCAGAACAATTCCTATACGGCATACAAGTTTGGTAAACCCCAACTGGACCGCTGGAGTACTTGTGGAAGGATCATCTAAACTATCGAAGTAGTTTACAAAATTCTCGTACGCGTCAGGATAATTATTATTTTTAAAACAATCTTTGGCTTTGTTTAAATAAAAGGTACTGTTCATTTTGTTGGGCTTCAGCGCAATTTGCGATAGAATTCTGGGAACACGAGGTTCAGATGACCCCAACATTACTGTGGGGTAAAAAAAAATTTTTTAACTACTTATTTGAATGTTTAAACCACTTCTACTAACTTTAAATCACTTTAAATAACTTTCGTAATGGACATTTAAAAAAAAACTAGGTTAAAACATTTTCGAAATGTCAGAAACAGCGTCTGCAAATGTCAAAAAGTTTTGCCGCCCCATCACAGACGTACGTTTATAGACATTTAATAGGCGTTTAAATGGAGTTTCTTTTGTGTTTCTAGTTTTTAGTATTTCGGTAAAATAAATTTATGGGACGCTAATGAGTTGACAGTTAATTTTAGAGATGGGCGAAAAACTCAACTTAAAAAAAAACGTTTTTTTTTCGCTGCATATATGAACTTTTAAAAACTTTAAAAAAACTTTACGTCCACGTCTAGTACTCATTCTGTCAGTTCAAAATAAATTTAAAGACTCTGTTATGGAATCTCCAAAGTTTTTAGTAGGTACTTATATTTGTAAACATTATTTTTAATTTATTTTGTATTATGTATTTGATTTTTTTATTATGTATTTGAACTTCTTGATAACTTTTTTTGGGTGTAAACCAAAGTTTAGGTAAAACAATCGTAAATGTAGGTTTTTAAATAAAGGGGAAAAAAGGGTCTTTTCCTGATTTATTAATAATTTTTCAATTTGTACGATTTTTGATGTTACGGTTGAATTTTTACAGCTTTTAAACATTTTTTACTGCATTTTACGCCAAAAAATAAGAGCAGATACATACGTTTATGTACTGGATTAATATATTTCATTTTTTTTAGCAAAAAATTGCTATTTTGAAAAATTAACCTTATATTTTGGGATTTTGTTTTTAATCCTCCAAAACATTTTATTTACGGCACCTTAACAATTGTAAAAGTCACCCAATTAATTTGGATTCACAATAAATTGATCAGAAAATTGAAACTTATGAATTAATGATTTGATTTTTATTTTTAATAAACTTAAGAGGCCATTTTTATCCTTATTTTTTAATTAAATGCTGTGCTACTCTAATGGAATTCATGATCCATGGTCGAGGATGAAAGAAGATTATTGCGTTTGCGCTTGCGCAATCCCAGTAGTACTCGATGTTAGCTGTCATGCAGGGCGTTTGCAGTGTTGGTTAGCTGAATTTGGACGTTTTTAAGTGCTTTAAAGGACATTTTTAACATTTCTGTTAAAACGAGTGTGCCAGAAGAGAAATTGCGAGGATCTATTACCCAAAGTAAGTCCACACTTAATCGTATTTATTTAAAGTGACCGATTTTTTACCACAAAAATGGCCGCTTATAGGTGTTGCCGCTCGATTACAAAATACGGTGTATCCGATTCAAATTTCAGTTTATTAGCACCCGGTCAAATCAGTTGGATTAATTACACTATCTTTGTGAATTATAAATGAAAAGTATGGTTGGTTAATTTAGAAAATCGACGAAAGATTGCCAAGGAATTTTTTTGTTTCGTTTGACAAGTGCTTTAAAACAAGTGATGGTTTTTGTGGCCCTTTAATGTCACTGAACCCTGACGAAAAATGGAGCAACTTCGTTTAACCAGAATATTACAGAAAAAAATACACGTTCTTGTTTATTATTAATTGGTATGTTTTTACAAACGCCTACTAGACAGTCATGTCCATTTTTATAATCGTAACACAGTGGTCAAAATTCTGAAAATTTCTGATCTTCCAGGACTTTTTTGAGTTCGGAACCGCTTTACGTATGTTTATTTAATTCTATAAATATAATAGTCATCTATATTAAGGAGTAAAATAGTTCAAAAGGCCAATTTAGAAATTAAGCAATAGATTAATAACATTATTTTGGTCTTTTCAGTATGTGAATCATTTTTATTTTTTCGTATAGCGCTTGTCCTTGAAGCATTTAACATCTTTTTGGAAACAGTTGCTTATTGCTTAATATAAATAGTGCAAATAATGGAAACTATGCGGCTAAATGGCGTTAATTATTGTTATATTCTTAGCTGTTAAAACAAACTCTGTTAATTATAGTCTAGTTGTTTGCTTATCAAATATCATTGTCACTTATTTTCTGATTTAATTGTTCAAATATTAATTTTTATCTAATCAGGTTAATTATCGGAAGGTACTACATTATGGTACGCGATTTTTCGTGCCATAGATTAAAAAACACACCGTATAAAGTTCATTAATTAGTTATAATCTCGATCTACAAGTGTCTTCATTATGGAATGGATTCCATAGTTCTGAATCATATACCGGGTGCGTCTCGAAAGTGGCTCACCCCTATAACTTTTTTATTTTTTCAGATAAAAAATCGAGATTTGGAATGTTAGTATATGACATAAATTAGGATTGATTGACGTATTTACTTGTTTTCAGTCACTTCCTGTTTCACCGGAAATGACTACAACTTTTGATTTTTAAATGGCACCCTCGGTATTTTCTTACCTTACTCGATAAAAAATGACACTCTGATTAGAATGACATATCATATGTCAACTTTGACATTTTCACTTTAACAAAAATTGTATTTTCAATGTCAATCTAGAGTGCCATGGCTGTGTTGAAAACACTAATTTTTATTCAAGGAGCCTTGGAAAAATAGATTTGATCGTCTAATATTTTTCGTGTCTTATCCTGGCCAGTTAAAAGAGGTCCAAATCGTATTTTTAATCATATCTCAATTTTTTCAAATGGAACGAGGGTGGCTCATTAGCATATTTGGAAAAAGCACTTTTTTATGAATAATTTGGTACCACACACTTGGAACTTCAAGTCAAATTATCGTTATGAACCTCATGCTACTATTTCAAAAAAACCATATGAAAAAATGTCAAAAGTTGACATATGATATGCGATTCTATTCAAAGTGTCATTTTCTATCGAATAAAGTAAAAAAATTCTGGGAGTGCCATTTAAAAATCAAAAGTTGTAGTCATTTCCGGTGAAACAGGAAGTGACCAAAAACAATTGAATACGTCAGTCAATCCTAATTTTATGTCGTGTACTAACATACCACATCTCGTTTTTTTATGTGAAAAAGTTATAGGGGTGAGCCACTTTTGAGACGCACTCGGTATAATACAATATTTTAGGTATAGACATTTTTTACAATATTTTAGTTTTGTACTTTTTGGGGCTACTCTATAGGTTTTTACTGGTTTACAGTGTGCATTGTTTATTATGTAGATATTATATCACGGAGATTACATCATCGGTCGCTGGATTAAATTAAAGCTAATAAGGTTGATTCATGGGAATAAAATTTTAATTTTTATATCGATGAGACCTGTTTAACTGAATATAAGCTTTTAATTTTCTGTATAGAAAAGTAAGTTTTATATATTTTTTTTTTCTTGATATTATATAGATAAAGTTGATATCACTTATTGAAAGTCAGTAAATGATTACTCACAGAAACATAACAAACAACATATAAATAACATGTACTGCACCTCTAATATAGTCATCACACGACAAAATCCTTGTCTGTCAAGTTGTAGTACTGTTCAAAGTAGTTTATTTTAAAACTAGAAGAGTTTCGGACTTCCATTGTCTTTATTTTAGAGTGATTAAAATTATTGTAGTGACAAAAATGTTTACTTCAAAATATGAAAAAAAATTAGCGCCGGGACGCACGTATAGCCACCCATACTAAAATTTTGGTCGGACGCGACAGTTTGGAGTTCTCCACACGGATTTTCTCAAAAACGAACTACGGAAACACGGAATATCTCAAAAACTGCGACTTTGACTGATTTTAATATTATTACAAATTTTGTTGCAAATATTATTCCTAATCTTAAATTGAAAACCGCGTTTCGCTAGCTACTGTAATTTTGTAGTTACGATTATGAATTGTGACTCTTCAAGGATTTCATTTCTAGTACATTTTATACATATAAAATAAATAATAATGTACGTTTGTCGTATCATTTATCACGTATAAATAGCAGAAAAGCAGCATTGCGTAACAATTAAATTGCTATAGCCATTAGCACGATTCTTATTTGCCATTTTTGGAATGATTTAAAGTAGAGACAGCCTTGGCTGTCTTCTCATATTGGAACATGGACAGATTTAATATATTAATCTGGGGAAGGCGAAAATAAATTAAAATTATAAATAAATATGATTATTTGTGATACATTTATTTGAAAATATTTTGAATCAGTAAGATAAAAATTAAGAAATATACGAGGGGCAAACCGCTGATAAATTTCTGTACACTAATACCATAGTATAAGGAAACTAGTAGCTTTACTCCTTGTCAAATCCTTGGTTCTTTTTCTGCCACTTTATATGACCCTGTTCTCGCGTCCCGTGACCACTGACGTAGCTGTATAGTCGTGGTCTATAACTAGGCACAGTATAGTCGTGGCACTCGCCATAGTTTCACAGAGATGTATTTTGTATTTATTATGAGTTCACAATAAAATAAAATAAAAAAAAATTGATCATCGAGTAAAAATTTGCTTGAAAACAGAATATTTTTACATTTCGTGTATGTAACAATTCTTCTGTATCTGAAATTCTTCTGATGGGAAGAAATGCGGAAAAAATATATAATAATAATGACATATTTTTATATTATTAGGTATCTATTTCAAAGATTTTCTACAACTTTTTTTTTATATTTAAAACAAGTTTAATTTTAACATTAATGTGTTTGTTTTGCAGTAATATATTGGTTAGGTGATTTTCATTGGATAACAAATACATTGAACAACACATTGTACTAAGTAATAAAATAACATATTTAAACTTCAATAATTGCTAATAAACATTACAGAAATTTCAAAAGAGAAAAGAAGCAAGAACAGTAAGAAATAGCATCACTACTTTTCACGCAATAAAAGAATAATTTCTTAGTTATTGTTACTTAGTCCCGAAGGTACCAAAAGAATCGGGAATTAATAACTTCGAATCCCAGTTTTTTGATATCTCAAAAGAATCGGGAATTTTCGGTTCTGAACCCTAGTTACCATATTATCAAGAAATTATGTTTTTTAACTGTAAACTAAAAAAAAAACAAACTTTTTTAAAAAAAATTGCGCAGAAAAATCCTTATATTTCTAGGGTCAAAATATACTAACCCTAAACATATTTGTACTTATTTAAAACTCACCCTGTATAGGGCGATTCATGGTTATAGTCATTGCCTGGAAACTTATATGGTGAAATTTTGATAAAGTAATTTAGTACACACTAAAAACACGGTATGTCGCTAGTGGTAGGAAAAATAATTTTTAAAGGTTACTAGTTTATTTGGTATGCATATACAGGGTGTTTCCTAATTAATCTAAAAAATAAAAAATCGTTAGAAAACGAATTAAGGCGGGCTCTTAATAAGTATATTTATTTTTTCCTCGATAACCGTTTGATGAACAAGAAAAACTCGAAAGATCAATTTTGTTGAAAAAGGATGGCCAGTCAAGAAAAAAATATATTTTCTTTAAAAAAGCAGTGGTGTACCATTTATGTTAAGCAAAAAAATCGATTTTTTTTTAAATTTTTAACACCCTGTAGATCAGAAAGGAAGTACTTTAGACCCAATGGTTATATAAAAATTGTTTTAAGAACACATGAGGAATCACACCATAATTTTTTTAGACTAATTCGAAAACACCCTGTATATTGTCAACTTGACAATGACTGCTGATAAATTAAAAAATACCTTTTCAGTGAAAAAAGCCTGATTTTCCCAGGAAAAATTTTGATTTTTATTGAATTTGGGCCTGCGTTTGCAAATACACGTTTGTTTTTTAATTTTCTATCTATCTAAATTTTAAATATATGGTATGTATTCGTTGTTTGATTTTTTTTCGTTCGCTTTAAAATCTATAAATCTCGGTCTATTCATTAGACAGCCAGTCGACTTACGATCATTTACATGAAACTCTGTAAAATAAATAAACAAATAAATTGTAAAATATATATATATATTCTTATGTTTTATTAAAGTTACTCTGATATACTAATATATCAGTGTAACTTTAAAAATAAATCCTTTGAATTCAAATATAAACATAAAAACATTTACAGCAGAAAAGGCGAAGGCGCTGGGTTAAACGTAGTCTCCACTAAAAACACGGAGGGGCGCTTTGACCCAAAATTTTACTATTAAGTTTCATAACTATCTTAATAGTAGATTATTTTCTTTTATCTACGGTTGTAGTACGTTATAGCGTTTCCGGAACTGGAGCTGTTTTTCGGAACCGGCAATTTCGGTACCATGCCTCTAA